ATGTGTGCATCGTATATATGTATTTATTTACTTGACTACTCTAATGACTCTGTGAACATGCAGTGAGGTTATGCTCAGAAGGAGTGAAGTGATGCTCTCTTTTTAGTAAATGTATTGATAGAAAAGTTACCAGGAAACTTCAGAATCTCCTGATATAGGCAACCAGACTCCCAAACTATGTTAAAAGCAGGTGTGCAGTAGTATAAGGAAACAGGACACCCCAGAAAGCAGGTGAGGGTTCAGAGCTTACTGCCAGAAAGAAAGCAAAAATTGAGTGATCCCAAGTTGTCTCTTTAAGAGAGATGGTGCCCAGTCTACTGTAACAGCCTACATTTGTGGTTTGGCTAAAGCAAATGATGGCATTGCTATCTATTTTCCCCTGTTGCCCACCCCTGAAGTGGATCTCACATTTGTGTGGCTCCAGAAAAGAGAGGGGCTGCTGTTTGCTTTGTTAGATGGATGTGTGGGGCAGGAGGAAAGAAGAGAAGCGTGGTCTTCTATTTGGGCTGCTCCTCCTCGTCCACCATGAATCCGAGGGGAGGAAATGTGTGGAGAGAGCTGATGAGTCCTAGGTAGGGCTCCGGCTGCAGCCTACAGCCTACAGCACGGAGAGGAGCTGGTGCCACTTCCTGGGTTCCTAACTGGGGTTAACTGGGCACAACACATGAACTAGAGATTCCGAGACCCAACATCTGATCTCAGAAACAGATGGGTTCTTGGGCACACTGTGAAGGGAGGAGCTGTGGGTTGTGTCAGTGATACCGTGAAATCCATTTACCAGGCAGGTATCTCTTCTAAGAGAAAGCAGTAGGTGGGATCAGGTGGCCTATTCGGTACTGGACGGTAGGGCAGGTCTCTTAGGGACCCATCCTACTCAAAATGTAACCTGGGGTTAGGGCGTAACAGCAGTGAGGAAGTGGGAGAACCTGGTACTGGTGATGGTCTCCTCTGGACCATGTGTTTGGAGACAATCTGCCGGTAGACAAGATGGATAGGGAGGTTACATTCACAAGGGAAGACCTATCTAATAAGGTTCTGGTGGATTAAGAGAAGGACTCTTGAGGGGTGAGGAGGGATGGTTGAGCGAAATGTGGAACAGGGGATGAGAGCTTTGATGTGGAAGATAGACAGGGGACTGCTTTTTTCTGGAGATAGGTTTGCTGGTAGGGGAAGTGGAGTGGCAGCTTAGGGTTTAATTGTAAATTGTTCTTGCTGTCCTCCATGATCCATGGAGGGTCATCTATGGATGAATATGTGACCAGACCATCTTGTCTCCCAACTTTCCTCCAAGTATCAACATAGCTATCATTTCCATGATTCCCTAACTTGGTTAGGTGTCCCCATCATGAGTTTCAACATATTTATTCATTTTAGTCATGGTCGTTCCTCTAGGAGTGGGTTAATGCGCTGGACTGCAGAGTTGGTTTGAACTCACTGGTCGCTCCTTGAGAACCCTGTACAGGGTCACTATGGGTTAGAACTGACTCGATGGCACTTAAAAACAACAAAGTTCCTTTATGGAGTCTCTGTTGCTAGTCTGCCCAGAGGCACCTTGGACGAAAGATCTGACAATTTGCTTCTAAAAAATCCAACACTGAAAACCCCTGGGAACACAGGTCTGCTCTGAGACATAATAGAGTCCTCATGAGTTGGAATCAACTCAACAGCAATTGCTTGACTGATGTAGTTTCCTTAAAGCCAGACCTAGGGGACCATAATGACAGCAATGAAAATAGAAGTGGGTGGCACTCAGAAAGAACTGGATTGAGTTTGGTGTCAATCGTATAGATATATTTAAATCATTTGTAGCATTCCTGCCATCTTGTTTTCTTCTCTTCTGCCTTTTTCATCTGATTCTCCAAAAGCTGTTTACTGCTGAGCACAGCTGGCCCATTCCCCTTGCCCCCTTTGATGGAGTGCCATTTGGGTGAGGTGCTGGGTGGACCTGGCTGGGAAGGCAGCATGCAGTGGGCCTCACCCTAGTCTCTGAATCTTGTTTCCTTGGTGTTTGTTTTCAGGGACCAGACCCTTGTGAAAAGACTCAAGTTGTGCATTTAACCACACAGAGATACATTGTTACATCTCTGAGCCGTGGTGGCAGGAGGGATGGCATTTTTAAGCACAATGAATTGCTGTCAAGCCGCTGTGTATCTGCACTCGGGGCCATCAATCTTGTCTTGCATGCTAGGCCTGCTGGTCTGCCTGCTCAGGCTCTTCTTTCTGGGGCAGACTTATTTACGGAGCTACGGCAAAAGTAATCTCACTCCCCCAGCCCTGTGCCCTGGGCCTCCCTTGGTCACTCTTAAAAATAGCTCAGGACATGGAGGGAGAGCCAGGGTCCAGTTACCACCCTCGCTGGATCTGATCTTGCCTCACTATCTGTGGCTGGCAGCTCGACCCTCCTCAGGGGCTGCTGGAGAATGTTGGCCACTGGGAGGTGTTCAGAGCTCTGAGCATGGGGTGGTTTTCCTTCAGGAAGGAGGGGAAAGAAAGGCATGCGAGGTGGAAGGTGCTTCCAATTATTTTTGCCAGGCCAGTTAAGTAAGAAGTCTCAGTCCTGGAAATAAGGGTGCCTGTTTGTGGAAGAGGACAGACTGTCCAAAAGGAGAAGGGTGTCTCGGGGACAGGCCTGGCATTATAGGACACGCCATGTTCAGGGTGACAGCTGGTTTCCCCACTTACCATATCTTTCTTCCCAAGTGACAAACACCTTTGTAAAGCCCCAGCAGCTGGGCATTGCTCTCTTTTCCCAGGTGTCATGTTCTCCCCCCACCTGCTTCCCTAAAATCTGTCCAGTCAAGGGGGTGAAGTTGGGTGACACTTGGCCTTTGGTCCCAGTTGCAGCAGTAATTCCCTAGATGACCTTGGGGAGGCCTTATCCTGTACTGGACTCCAGTTATTTTCCCTTGTGTAATTAGGGAGGATAATTCTGGCTTCTTCTTCCCTCAGAGGGATGTGGTGGGATTGATTAATCAGATGGAGGCAAAATAGTCTAAAGTGATTCTCCATCTGAAAAAAGACTATAATTGCACTTGAATTGGTACTCGGATGCATGTGTGCACGTGTAGGGGGTTGCATGTGTAGATGGGTGGGTTGGAGTATGTTCCTGTGTGTAGATGTGAGTGAATGCACGTGTGTGGGTGCGGGGAGCGGATACACTGTATATGTTGGAAGCATGAGCATGCATGTGGTGTGTTCGTGTGTGTGTTAGATGCAGTGCTTATCCTATAGCCCTGGTGGCATCACAGGATACATACTGGACTGCTAACCGCAAGTTCGGCAGTTCAAACCCACCAGCTGCCTGCTATGAAGCTTTCTGCTCCTGAAAATATTTATATTTATAGCCTCAACAACCCTCTACAGGGTGGCTGTGAGTCAGAATGGACGTAAGGACAGTGGGGTTTTGGGGGGTGTGAGAGGCACATGTGTGGTCTGTGTGTTTGTATGTATTGGAAGTATGTGCATATGTGTGAGAGAATAGTATGAGTGGACACACACATGTGGATGAGAAGGTTTCTCTCACAGCTCATGGCTTATGAGACGCTTGGCATGTGCAGGCTTAACCATCCCCACACCCCACTCTCGTACTCTTCTTATGATAAGAAGGCTCCGTGCTCCCAGACTTGATTCTGGGATCCTTTAAACTCGCTGGGGAGATGTTTGAGTGGCAGGTTCGGATGAGGAAATGAAGGCTGAAGGAAAGCTAATCATTTTCCAAAGGGCCAAGGCATTCAAGGCCTCTCTAGACCTCTCTCTCATGTTTCTCTTCTAACCCCACCCCATCCTCCAGTTACCGTGTATGAGTGTTTTTCAAAGTTCTTCAATTTTACAATGTTCTTGCTCACCTGCAGAATTTTGCCCCTCTTCTTTATTCGTATTTTCCTTGCTTGGATTCTTTTTCCTTTCTGTCTGTCTCTTTGTGGGATGCCTTCAATCTGCTTTCAGGTACCAGCTTAAATGCCCCTTTGCCTGACACCCCAGTGCCCACCATGAGTTGCCCACATTCCTTACCTTGTTCTTTCCCAGGGGTGAGATACGTCACACCTTATTGTACTTGCTTGTTTAAGGGTTTCTCCTGCCAGAGTATAAGCTTCATGAGGTTGGGGCCCTTCCTCTCTTACTCATAACTGCTAGTACAGTGCTTACCACCTAATTGGGACTGTCTACAAATTTGAAGTAAACATGAATGAATGAACGAGCAAAAATGATAAGCATGTGGCCAATGCTCCTGATGCATATGCTGACTGCAGAGGTACCCGCTGTACGTCTCATTGTCTACGGAATTCTGTCACCCTCAGTATCATCATGCTTGCTTGGGACAACAGGCTTCTCTGGGCTTCTTGGTCTGTCATGGGATTCAACAGGAGACCTAGTCTGAGAACCTGGCCATACTTCAGAGAAAGCAAACACAAGAGCTCAGCTTTCTGAATATTTACTGCTGGTAAGGAATTTACTCAGCACTCTTGGGCAGCCTCTGTGAGGAGTGAACTTCCCCAGGGTGCTGCTCCTAGAGCTGGTAGCATTCATTCATTCCTCCCTGCTGATTCCTGTTGGAGTTGTACTCACCCAACTCGCAGCTTCCTTCTCCTGACCCCAGTCTCCCCTCTCTAGCTTAGATCCTGAGACCCGTCTGCTGGGCGGGGGCTACTCTTCTCAGCATCCCCTCCCCCTCCTCAGCCTCTAGCTCCTGTGCTGGTGGCTTGGGGTTTGGAGGAAGCAGCTCCCTCCGACTGAAGTCTCCACCTGCTGGTCGTCCTGACCCTTGCTTCCTGCAGCTCTCCGTCTGCCGTTACTGTTGCTGCTGCTCCCGCTGCTGCCGCCGCTGCTGCAACATTTTATAACACATGTCCCAGAGACCCTGGGTGGGAAGCATGTCCAGGCAGGTGACATGGTGTGCTGCTTCCAGAAAGATCTACTTCTGTCGAAAGCTCCGAATAAGTTTCCCCTAAGGAAGTCCAAGAGGGTAAGGAGCTAAGCCTCTGACTGTGTTGCTCTCCCTCCAGGGACCCTTCCATGAAGACTGAGGCAGGCAGAGCTGCTGAGAGCCTGCTGACATGACATCAGCCACGGAGTTTGAAACCGGGGGCAACCAGCCTCCGTACAGCCGGATCAATGCCCGCTGGGATGCCCCAGATGATGAGCTGGACAATGACAACAGCTCAGCCAGGCTCTTTGAGAGGTCCCGGATCAAGGCCTTAGCAGGTACCGTTCGGAGCCATGAACATGGCATGGGGGTTAGGGGAGCCATCCTTGTAATTCTGAAGTCCATTCCCCTCCTACCTATGGTGATTCCTGTGTGTGCAGGGCTGTGATGCAGATGTGTTTGTATGGCTTGGAGAGGCTGGCCCATTGGGAGTGCAGGCTCAGACTGTTTTGGATCTTCCCAGGAAACTGAGAGTCAAGATTGGACTGGAATTGGTGCCAGGTAGCCCCTGTGCTCTGCCCTTGTCCTAAATGATCTGTGACCAAAGTCAGAAGTAAGAGCAAGTCTGGCTGGAGGAGTCCCTGACGGGGCTGTTCAGCGTGGCAGAGGTCCATGGGACCTCATCATGCAGTCTGTTTCCTTCCAGTTCCTGAATGGAGGAATCGTCATCCTCCCTGAGATCCCAAGAGAACAGAGTGATTTGGGATGAAATTAAGAGTAGATAACACGTAGATAACATCCTCCTTACATTGCCTCAGAAAATCCAGGATTTTCTGGATGAAACTTCCCATCCTTGACCTGGCATGAAATTTTTACTTAGTAGGTTCATAGTGGATTTCAGAGTACCCTCTCTCTCTATCCCTCTCAGTCTCTCTGTGAGTGTGTGTGTGCATGTGTATGTGTGTGTGTGTTAGTGTGAGACCCAGAGAAAGATCTTCAATCTCTAGTAGAGATGGCTTTTCCTCCCCCTGCTGGCTGAATTCTGACTTGGATTGTTGACATTTTTTCCCTAGCCCCTGTGATCATTGCCTCCCTGAGCCTGGCCTGAAGTGCTATAGTCTGCCGCTAACCTTGTCCTTGTCTGAGAAGGGAAGTTTTGAGTTGTACGGGGTTGTGTGTGTGTATGCCAGTGTGTGTAGCAGGGGTGGGATGTGGTGATGGTGGTGGGGTCTTCACCTGATCCATCGGTCATTGGTCCAAATCAGACTTGTTTCTCCCTCACTGATAGTTACCGTCTTCTACCCCATAAGGAAGGTGCCACCTTTCCTTTAAGAACTTTCTGGAGCGACTCTCCTACTGCCCCATCCCTCTTGGGAAGGCCATGGTAGTTCTCTTTCACCTTTCCTCCAACCTTCCCTCCCTCCACTCTCTTCCCAGGCCATTGATCCCCTCATCATCCCCATGATTAGGTCTCTCATCCCCTCTGGGGCCATATTGACCTTTTACCTGCAAATGTCTGGACTTCACATGGGTCTTAGCACTGACACTTCATGCCGTTATAGCTCACTAACTCCCTGTCTTTTTCCTTCACCTCCTCCTAAGCACTCCTTGCCCCTCAAACTCCTTCCTCATTTTCCTTGGGGACAGATCATAGCACTAATCCTTTGCTTTTGATTGTATATATAATTTATCCTCTTTAAAATTTATCAAACCTTTGGTTTTACCAGTCCATCTGTACCCTCTTTATATGTTTGTGCTGGCTGAATTTGGTTGTAATGACTCTGGTGCTACAAATGAAGGGAGGAAGAGAGAAACCATGTTTTGTAAGTTTTCTTGAAGGAAAATGGGAGGCAGGTTTTTGTTTTTTCGTTGTTTTTTTTTTTTTCAAGAAACCAAAGTATATTTAATTTTAACAATTACTTTTTATGCTCCTACTATGCCTAAAGCTAAGCATGATAGTGGAGAGGGAAACTTGGAGCAATCAACCTGGGGTCCATCTCTAAGGAGTTTATAACTTATTAGGGGAAATGAGCTAGTTCACAATTAATTGGTATGGATAGAATTAGAGAAGAACGGTGGGAGAGGCATAAATTAGTAGCCAGTGAGAGAGTAAAGGAGAAGATGCAGGAAGAATTAGGGAATAGTTTATGGAGGAGGTGGACCTGGAGCTCCATATTGAAACATGCCTGTGATTCTGACAAGTAGATGACCTAAAGGTTTCTCTGATTGGTTTGGACAATAGTAGCCAGATCTGAAGAACACCCTGGAAGACTGGTTGTTGTTGTTACCAAGTGCTGCCAAGTCAGTTCTGACTCATAGCAACCCTGTATAGATAGGGTTTCAACCTCCAACCTTGCAGTTCAAACCAACCTACAGCACCACAGACTGTTGTTGTTGTTGTTGTTGTTAAGTGCCATTGAGTCGGGTCTGACCCATAGCGACCCTGTACAGGGTTTCCGAGGGTGTAAATCTTTACGGGAGGTAGGTAAAAGATGGCAGGCACAAGAGGGCAACTGCCTGGGAAACCTAATGGTCAGAATGAGGTGGATCAGGAAAGGGCCTTTGCTAGCCTTGGCATTGCCTTTGTTGTTGTTAGCTAGTTACAGTCATGATGACCCCATGCACAATGAAAGGAAACCCTGCTCAATCCTGTACCATCCCCATGATCAATTGGGGATCTGACTAGATCTGTAAGGTTTCCTTTTTGTTTAATCATTTGTTTAATATATTTCTGTTGTTGAGAATATACACAGGCGAACATATACCAATCCAACAATTTCTACATGTACACTTATATGATGTTGATTACATTATTCAAGTTGGGCATCCATTTGTACCTTCTTTTTATGAATTGTTCATCCCCAATTAACAGAAGCTCACAGGGCCCTAACTTTCCTATATGCTTTGTTTGAGTTGCTTTGTCAGTCTGTTCCCACCTAGAGAGTTCTTTACTGATGAAGACCAAAGAGCATAGTCTTTGGTATGGATTACATGTCAATATAAAGAAAACAAAAATCCTCACCACTGGACCAATAAACAACATTCTTATCAATGGAGAAAAGATTGAAGTTGTCAAGGACTTAATTCTTTTTGGATCAATTATCAACACTCACTGAACCAGCAGTCAAGAAATCAAATGACGTATTGTATTTGGCAAATGTGCTGCACAAGACCTTTTGAAAGTGTTGAAGAGCAAAGATGTCAGCTTGAGGACCCAAGCCATGGTATTTTCAATAACCTCATATTCATGCAAAAGGAGGACAGTGAATAAGGAAGACTGTAGAAGAACTGATGCATTTGCGTTATGTTGTTGGAGGAGAATATTGAAAGTGCCATGGACTGCCAAAAGAACCAATAGATCCATTTTGGAAGAAGTGCAGCCAGAGTGCTCCTTGGAGGCCAAGATGGCCAAACTTCATCTCTCATACTTCAGACATATTGTCAGGAGGGACCAGTCGGCAAGGACATCATGTTTGGTAAGGTGGAGGGTCAGAGATAAAAAGGAAGTCCCCCAATGAGATGGATTGGCCAAGTGGCAGCATCGATGGACTCAAGCATGGCAACATTAGTGAGGTTGGCCCAGGATCAGGCAGTGTTGATTCTGCTGTGCATAGGTTCGCTATGAGTCGGTGCCGACTTGATGGCACCTAACAACAAACAATAAGAGAGTTCTTTAAGAGAACACAACAGTCAAGGCAGACATTTTTTAATAGTTAAGCTAAACTATTGTTTGCTTTTAAGAATATTTGGATATTTTAGGTTTAATGTTTAAAGATAATCTCAAGGCAGTAGTTTGTGGTGTTCATCCAGCCTTAGTGGCTCCAGAAAGTTTAGATTCCATGAGAATTTGAAATTATAGTCTACATTTTCTCTTTTAACAAGAGTTCTATAGAATCTTTGATCGAAGTGAAGCCTTCATGAGGCAAGTAGCCATGTAACCATAGGGTTTTCATTGGCTTATTTTGAGATGTAGGGCTCCAGGTCTTCCTTTCTTCCTAGTCTGACTTAGTCTGGAAGCTCCACTGGAACTCCTTCAGCATTATAGCAACATGCAGGTCTATGCTGATGGATGAAGGTACGTTTTGCTGTATTTCTTACCTAGAGTATGCATCTTGTTGTTGTTGTCAAGTGTTGTTGAATTGGTTTTGACTCATAGTGACCCTGTATAGGATTTCTGAGGAGCGGCTGGTAAGCTTGAACTGCTGACCACTGACCTTGCAGTTCAAACTGACCTTGCAGTCTAGTGCATTAACCCACAGTGCCACACCAGGACTCTCCAAGAGAGAATGCATCTTATCTATCCCCAAATCTGAATGCCCCCTCCACACCTCACCTGGCAAAGAGCAAGCCACTGAATGTTACTGAGTTACATGCTTGGGTCTTACTGATTCAGAACTTCTGGGCTAATAAATAAACATGTAAGTTTAGGGTCTACTCAACACTTTTAAAGGGAGTTTACTGCTCTTCCTTTCCAGAGTGTCCAATCTGTATAACCTGTGGAAGAGAATAAAGCTTTAAAAAAGTCCAAAGTAGCGTGTTAGACTATTAGGTTGGTGAAGCAAGGGAGGAGAGCATACTGTCTTCCCCAATTTTTAACCTCTTGATGTTTTGCTCTTCTGTATTGTCTTTGGGGCTGCCAAACCAGTCTTTGCAGGACTTTAGATATTCATGCCCTAGGGAGCAGAGGTGACCTTTGGTCACCATAATTTCACTCCCACATCCCTAAGAGTCTTAGACCAAGGAAGGCATTCAGCTGTGCTTCTTATATGATGATGGTGGTCTGCTTTATAGATACATGTAGCAAGGTTGGCGCAATTGGGCTGACATTTTCTTTCTGAAATGTGTGGTCTTAGGGCAAGGAAGAAAATACCACAAGACCTGGATTCGAGCCCTGGTTTCAATTTTAGCACTGCTGCTTTAGAGGACCCTTGACTTGCTTTCTTCTCTTATAAAATGGGAGCAATAGTTCTTTCCAAAGGTGGTTGTGAAGATCAAATAAGGATATGGCAGTGTTTTATTAACAACAGAATGTTGATGCATGTTAGTTATTATTACTAAGAAAATTGTCCTATAGGTTCTTTGGGTCCTCTCTCCAGCTTTAGACATTCAGGATGGTAAAGTAAGGTCAATCACTGTCCGGGTTACCTTGGTCTATTTCAGGACTTGTTTCTTTCTTCTTATCTCCCACGCCCCTTTTCCTTGGAAGACCCTGTTTGGAAAGAAAAGCCAGGAACCAGCGAAATTAATCAAATACTCATGCTTGGTCCTCTTGACCTCTTCTCGCCATAATTAGTGCCTTTGTCTCTCTCTGTAAGGTTTCACAGTTCAAATCCCAGCT